TTGTCTGGCCCTCGAAGATGACCTAAGGAAATTAGAACATTGCCTGCAATGATTGGGGTTGATAGCAGTGATGGGTGTTCCTACAGTGGTACCATCTGCCAGATCGCTGAGATCCAGCGTCGTGCCAGCGGGAACAGCAACGTTCGACAAGATGATAGTAGAGCAAGTCTTCTGCGCGGCCATCGCAGAAGCGGCGCCGGTGGCCCCGGAGAAGGTGCAACTCGCGCGCTTCTCCAGAGTCTTGGATGGCGCGATAACTGGCTCGGCGACGGGAGAGGCAATCACCTCGGCCGCAGAGGCGAGAAGCACGAGAGAACCGATTAGTTTCAACATTATGATGGCAATTGCACTTAAAGGAGAATGCTGTTGATGGGTTGCGGACAGTCACTGCTTCCTCCGGTCTTTGATCCCTTATATACACCATACCACGCCTACACCTCGCGACCTCGTTTCCGACATCGATGAAGAGCTCTAGTGCCCCTCTAGTCTGTAGAGAAGAGCAGTTCATCGTTTCTCCTCCAATACTCCATCATAGCGCTACTCTAGCCTCGCTCCATTGGTGGCAAATATTTTCCTGCAAGAATAAAACGACACCTAAGCAATATGAAGAAAGCTTGTAAGGCGGAAGAAAATCACAAGCATTTCCGTGCAGCTGCTTGCTGCCGGGGAAAGATGGAGAGCCACCAATTCAAAAGAGAACAGGCGCCAAGTAATGCACTTCATCGTACCAATATTCAGGGTCGTTGACCCCTGAGGGCTGCGTCGGGTGTCTCGGCTGACCCCCGCGTCATTTACCCCAGACCTGCTATGTCGCTTCTTTTTTTTCCACCACTCAATTTACCGTGCGGAGCCGGCAATTCCTGTTGCAGAAAGGAAGTCTAGTCTAACATTATTAGCGTGGTGGCAGGGGGTTTAGTGCGTCTTCTTAGCACGAATATTCACGTAGCCTAATAGGGCAGAGCGAATCGGTAATACTAGCCTAGCATCAGCCGGATAAACTGAGATTCGAATTGACCTATCCGTGCATTCATTGCACGATTAGTTTAGCATGGCTTGGTATACGGTGCCTTTCAAGTGCCTGGCATTGCGACAGAAGCCCTTATGGACGGAAGGCCTTCGGACATAATGGCACCAGTAGGACCAGGAAAATAAACAAATTTCCAACTCACGTTGCGCGAGACTATACATACTGCACTGTTGAGTCTCAGAGCACCGGCGGCTCAAAAGTCCGACCTCCGAATACCTTGGCATAATTGATTTCCCCTTTGGCCCTGATGGTGAGAGCTCTTCCACTTCGATTAAGAAGCCAACAAGAAACGACGATTCTCAGATCCGTGCAAGTATCCATGACGTCTTCCCTCCCGTGAGTTCTTTGGGCCATTCCCTTCGACATATCGCGAAACCTGCCCTCAGGAGAAGTTGGATGCTCTCGCATACATCATGCAAAGTATCCCCCCGAAAGGAGAAAGCTTTTCTCCCGAATTTCAGAACAGGAAATATCCAAGGAGGACAAGGAATTTGTTCTAAAAGTAATGAAGCTCGATCCAAGAGACAGGCCTTCCGCAGCAGAGCTTTTGCAAGACAGGTGGTTCGCGGCATAGTGGAATTAGATTCGCAGAGCATGCTGGAAGATGAACATTCCATTGAGCTCCATGTGTGGCAAAAGGTTAAGGACTAAGACACGACCGGACCTATGCAGGACCACCTCGGTTTTCATTTCCGCGCCTCATTTGGCTAGAAGCTTCCATCTACATTCTAGAATGATTATGATAAGTCCACTACAGACAGACTCTTAGACGCTGCCAAACACCATGATGATGAGAATGAAAAATTATTTCGGAGGCTACAGTCGGGTTGTATCTTATTCTAATCCAGCTCCAACCTCAGAGCGTCATATTGAACATACACGGTCCCCGGTAGAATAGCAGTCTCCGTATCCGTCGCGTTGTACGGCAGATGAAGAGTCAGGGTATTCTCGCCGACCTTGAGCCAATCCGCAGGGAACTCCATCCGTGACCGGACCTGGTAGCAGCTGACTGCAGAACGCACGATACAGCTGCTGGACTGGTTAAAGCCAATCACGAAGGAGAGAGGCTGCTTCTGGTCATTGATGTAGCTCTCATGGGAGAGGTTAATGTACGGTTCTGCGGGATTGTACACATCCGTGTTGCCCGAGGCCGTCTTGGCACCGGCAAGCTGGATTGTCAGGGTAGCCTTCTTGGACTTGCGGAGCTGGTTCTTCGTCAAGGAGAAATTGATCTTCCAGTCGTGGGTAGTGTTGTACTCAACATTCGGGTTGTCGGGCGTGGGGCCGAAGACCGACCAGTGCACTGTGTTGAAATCTGTCGCGGGGTTGCTGCTGCCAATCTTGTAGTCGATACCCTTGGGGAAATCGGATTGCCAATCGTATGCGCCCCAGTAGATCAGATACTCTGGCGGGTGCAGTGGGTGTGTGGGATCGCGCGCGACACCATGGCGGAACTCGCCCGAGGACTTGTCGGGGGTACCAAGGCGCCAGACCTCGGTGCCCGCGGACTCGGCGACCCATTTCTCTTTCACAGTGGTAGACTTGCCGGCCTTGACAGTCACGCCGTCGCGCACAAAATCGCCGAAGATGCCGTCAGCGTAAACGGTCAGGCGGTACTTGCCTTCGACAACGCGATCGATGCTGAACTTGCCGCTAGAGTTAATGTCCGTCCAGTACTGGTATGAGGATGGAACGACGCTGTTATCCTGGAAGTACTGGCCGTCCACAGTAAGGATGGCAATAGGATTGGTAGCGCCCTTCGGAAGGCGGACCTGACCGTTGACGCTGCCTCGCTTCGAGGAAGGCACATAGCCGACGACATGCTTGGCGATTGAGTCATAGAATTCGGCGTTCCAGCTGGGATCAGCCAATTTCGCGGCTTCCGATCGCAAATCTTGAAGGGAAGAGGTGGAGCCCTTGCCACCGTTGAAGAGGTAAAACTGAGGGCCGAATGTCCGGTCAAAGCCATTGGTGATGTTGGGTGTACCTTCGCCGTGGTGGTTGGAGACAATGTAGTTATAGACAATACCGTCGACGGTCAGATCGGAGTGGAGCGGGCCCTATTTTGTTAGTCTTGTCAATGAATGGAGGCAGGGGACATACTCCGTAGTAAGTATCCTAGTCATCTTGTTAGCACTGCATCTTGAAATGTTGAAGCAATACTAACCTTCGTGTTCATGACCAGCCAGGCGCCGTAGGTCGAGCCATTGGAGTTCGTGCCGTCTCCGTAAAGCCCGTGGACGTCGTTGTCACGCCATTCTATAGTCTGTTAGTTCGAATCGCACCCCATGAGGCAATGCCACCTACGATTAGAAAACGTGTACTTGGTGAAATATTCCGAGAATTGGGTGTAGTATGCATCGTTCGGGGTATTGTTGAATCGCCATGTGGCGTCCTGGACGACCACCTCCTTGCTCACGGCATCCTTGCTCGGCAGTGGAGCTGTCTGGAGCTCACTGGACGTAAGATGTGTCCATAATTGCGTGTTCGGCCGGAAGAGCGTGCGGAACTCTTGGAGATTGCGAAGGAAGGGAGTGGTCTCGTTGTAATAAGCCAGACGGCTAAACATGTGCAGCCCTGTCTCTCCGTCTCGCAGGAACCAGTATTGCTGGAACTGCTGTCCAGTGGGAGTATAGGTATCATTCAGGATGACACCCGCATATTTCGTTCCGGTCGAGTCGGTCCCTTCGACATACTGCATGCTCGGTTTTGTGGCGCCCGCTGTGTAGAAACCAGATGGGACACAGTAGCAGTCGAGGTAGGGTCCGATACCTGTAGATCCAGATTGAGGTCCGAGAAGGTCCTGGCCATCGAGGAACATATCCACAACTGATCCCTTGCTCTTGCTCCAAACAGCTTTGAAACGGTCATTGTTGAGAGTGATGGTGCTGTTGTCCTCGGCGACCTGCAACGCTGCCAGCGCAACGCCAGCCCAGGCGCACGTCGCAACTAAAGAAATGGCGAAGCGCATTGTGGAGGGTAACCATCAACAATTGATTGACAGCGACGTGAAGCCCGCTTGCAGGAATCATGGAGTGATCTCGAGCGGTACTTGAACCGCCTTGGACTGGCAATTTTTTATGATCGCGGCATGCAATGCCCCGAGGTCGCTTGAGAACCGACATCAAGCTCCGCTGCAGCTCCCAAGCAAGAGGACGCATTCACTGGATGACGGTATTTAGCGACTTAGCCTATCAAGGAACGGGCCAAGACCGTGGGCTGCGGAGCCCCAGAAAATGAGCGAAATGCGGGGAAACTGTTGGACCAGAATATGGCGCCATGGAGTGACGGAAAAATTATTCGGCCATCATTAACCCGATGAAGCTTGAGAGCCAGACCTAGGTGTAGATTGAGACCGAACACCGCTGCGGGGGAGTACGAGTCAAGAGAATGCCAAAACGCCGTCCATTGTGCCCATTTTCCGTCGTCCAATTCCCATGTCGTCCCTTCATTATGCTTGAGCACGCCACGACTTCAGCCTAGTCTCAACGGAAACAATGCGAGGAGGGAAATCGATCATTGAGTGATATTTCTGCTGAAATTGCCATACCACGTGGTCCTCACAAGAATTCCGAAGGTTGTGCCAACACGTTTATGAGTCTGGTAGTCATTGTCTGGCATCTACCACAGCAGAAACGACCGGGATCCGGTCCCTTGAAATAATGATTTGCGTGGCTTAAGCCGAAGCCGACGTTTCTATCCAAGGGTGAATTAGATAGTCGTCCGGGCCAGACATTTTCGCTCAGTTGAAGGACAAAGATCACGGACAGGAATGACTGTGGTAGATATTTCTCAACGTGTGCATTCAGATCTCGCCGGGGCAATGGCATACCCTTCCATTGTATCACAGCCGGGGCAGCTAGTCGTATTCATCCCTATTGCCACCAATTGCTTGCCGACCAGTTCTTAAGTCGCATGTTCAGTCCTGGGCAGAATGCGAATAACCTCACGGCGCGTAGCGGCTAGATTCAACTCAATAAAGATTACTCGGCACGCTGTTCAGCCATGACATATCCTGGAAATCAGGCATATCGAACCCATCGAGCAAGTCTGTATTCATGCCTTCGCCAAGGGACATGTCGTTCATGGTGCTGAAAGTGCTGGCTTGAGCATGGGTTGGCGGCTCATTCTGTTGTGGTCCTTCGGACACGACCCTTTCGTAGAGGATCTCCAATGCTGCGACGCACCGTCGAGCGGATGAGCTGTAACTGTGGTAGCTTCTCAATATTTCAAGGGCGCAATTCCAGGATCTAGTTATCGCTGTTTCTGTGACTGCTTCGAGGATAGCGGATCGGAGGCGCCCGGCGATCAGGACCGTCGCTGCCGTGTAGACATCTTCCCTGTCAGTACATTCTCCATTGAAGGCTTTAATATGACTTACAGAGAATATTGTACCACCAAGCTGGAAGTGGACCGGCAGAGCCGTCGGCAGGGATGTTGCTGTGGATCAATTCAATAACCTCTTGCGCGACCTTGACACAGATGATGGAGCACTGCTGCGCAACTCGCTGGGGAAACGAATCATTCACTGAGATAAGCGGATCGTGCGGTGTATTCTCGCGAGCAGTACAGTATTTTGATAAAATCGGCCTGAAAAGAAGCATCCGGACATGTAGAAATCTGGTGTGACTTTCAGCTGGTATGCCATTTGGGTTGGAGAAGGCCACTTACCGAGCTCTCAAAACCACACTCTGATGGTAGAAAACTGCATCCTCAGGCTCGGAGGGTGTATCTCCTCGGAGATGGGGCGGTAGACTTTGAGTCCATTTGGTCAGAGCTCGGTCGAGTTCGAAGATAGTACGTTCGCCTTCATCCGGTCCTTTGTTGAAGTAGAAATCGTAAATGTCTTCAGGGTTCTCTTCGGGAACAGGTTTGTAGAGGCTGAGCAGAATATCGTTCAGAATCTCGTAGAGCTCAAGGGACTTTGCGTAAAAGGCCATGACGGAAGGACGGTCCGTGGGTTGTCTCACTTCACCACCCAGAGCTGCGGGAATGTACTCTTCGTCCACTGTGGCTGGCAGCGGAACGGAGCCACAGGATGCCTTGGAGATCATAGCTGGTCGTCCGAATGTCATGGAAATGACCCTGTCCATAAGAACACATCCGTGCCAGACCTTCCGTGCGAGTTGCTCTTCTTGGAAACTCGGTAGACGGGCAATGGTCTGTGGAAGATGCAGGCCCAAACTTTGAGCGTTCCGAATCGCCAAGCCAGTGACAATCCAGCATTGATGTGCTGAGTCAGTACTTTGCAGGTACTGAGCCATCAGCAGAAGGCATTGAATCAGAGCAGCGGAGCCACCGTGCCAGAGGTTAAAGTGTAGGAGGTCTTTTGCGCGCGAGAAGAAAGCATCCGCAGAGGCTTCTCGCTCGTCCGGCGGGATGAAATCAGCCAATTGACAGGCCAAAGCAAATATGACGTTGAATGTGCACATGAGCATATTCTCGTCCGAGTCGAGCGTTTCTCCGGTCCAGAGCTTGCTATACTCCTTTCGCAAATGAATGCTATCAACCAGCGGATAGAGAGGAAACACAAATCGCCAGTACACATCCATAAGGCTCTCAGCCGTTTTTCTTGGAGGAAGCACATAGTTGGATATCGTCGAGCGTCTTTCGGACCTTTTGGACAGAAAACTCGATTGCGGCGCATTTCCCAGTATCGACTCGGATGCTCGGCGGTTGGGAGAGTCTACCCTCTTTTCCACAGCTGTCTTTATCTGACGCATGAAACTGGTAGCACTTGAGCTGCCAAAAAATCCTTGTGTCTGGCGCTCCTCCTCCAGAGAACCCATCATTGCGTTCACACCATCATCTCGTCCTTCAGTGTCTAAAGGACGTTCCAAACGACGGTAAACTGCATTGCTTGGCTGCCCTCCAGTGCCTGCAGAGAAGCCATTCCTTCCATCGAGCCGGTTGAGAGGAACCGTTTGTGATGGACTGGGTTGTCCCGATGACTGGACTGAAGGTGAGACCTGATTGATTGGCGATGTAGACTACTATGGTTAAATCATTGATATATGAGAAGACAGGAATCGAATGCTTACCTGCGCATAACGTGACACCTGCTGCCCACTCGGGCTCTCTAGATGTCTGATCTTATTTTCCAAACTAGCGATGTAGCTACCCCATTGAAATCAACATCAGCTGGCAATGATCAACCAATTGGTGCCTGAGGCAACACTCACTTGCGCACGGCTCGGCGTTTCTCCGGCTCACCAGTGTAAACGCAGCGCGCATCCGAACGCTTCGTACAAGGCCCACAGACTAAGGTACCAGGAATGAGAGATGCGGTCAGCAAGGCGGTTCATATTCCGAAGCAACGCGGACATCGGAAGAAGACCTGCGAGACCTACCGGGTTGGATGCCGTCGCACCGGACCTTCCGCGCGCGACATTCATCGCATGCGACCGCGACTTTGCGTCGCTTCGGACGTTTTTCTGACTCTTCATCGGGGCGCGGGTGAGAAGGAGATAAGCGGTCCATTTATATGATATGTATCATGCAGTGGTGATTATTGTGCAGGAATCGATGCATTTCTGGTTGTGTGATAGAGTGCGTCCCGGACTCCCGCGAGCTCGGGAGTAGGACTCGGGTGCGATTCCGGCGGCCTCAGGCAGAAGAGCATTTATTTCATTAATCCATAACGTCGAATTGAGATTTGAATATGTTATCAAATAATTAAATAATTTAACTTAATTCCACTGGATTAGTCTAATTATTGCAAAGATATATCCTCTTGTCTTTAGAGTTGGGTTGCTTTCACTTCCTCTCGAGATATATATTTTGTGCGAGGGTGCATTTGCGAAATAATGCAACCAGATATATAAAACCGGACGCTTACAACGATATCCTAGTATTGCATACTCCTCATCAGAAGGCAAGCGTAAGAACATAGAAACGTGTGTCTCAAAGCAAAGTGTGTCGGTATCCGGGTTTTCATAAGTCACGGAAGTTTTCTGGATGCTTCTTCATGATCTTCTCTGCCATAGCATGTCCTAAGGGCATGGTTTCATCTCGAAAAGTTTATTAGGGCGCACTGCAGCCTGGAGCCCAAAGCCAGCTTACAGAGATTCAATTGCTTATGGCCACGAGTGCAAATGTTGGAGAGACTAGTTGATTTCCAGTACTAAGAAGCAAAGGACAATTAAGTATAAGGTATATTCTCGATTATTAACACTTCTCTAGTCCAATAGGACAGAGTGCACTAAGTTGATACAGTAGTCCAGATGACAGTCGATTATCCATCATCCGATCAAGAAGAGAAATTTTTCTATCCGCCAGGAGCATGCAGTTGTTACACCAAGTGCTATATGCAACCGTGATCTCGAAGATATTGAACAAGGGTTTGAGAGGACGGCATCACTCGTGACTGGCTTAGGCGATGGAGCCGAGAGCAACGCAGGCCGGTGTAGCAACGTTGATGAGACCATCAGACTATTATGACCATCAGAAGAGTGCCAACCAGGGAAAGACTGAAATGACTTACAGCAACAGACTTGTTGTCCTGGCAGCAAGCAACGTTCTGCTGGCATCCCTTGTTGAGCAAGTCGCTGAGACCGAGAAGGCCTAGAAAATGTTAGAGATATAGCTACTCTCGACTCTTGATACGAGTGCTTACCGGTGACGGAGATCTTCTGGCAGCCGGAAAGGATACCGACACCCTCAGGGCCGCTGATGGCGTTGCCAAGAAGGCCGTTCAGGATGCCGAAGTTGAAGGCGTTGGTGTCGCCGACCTTGGAGACATGGTTGCAGCAAGAAAGAGTGGTGTGGTCGCCGCATTTGTTCTGGGCCTGCTGCAGAGTGTACTCGTTGGAGCTGTCGAAGGTAGGGTGGACGGAAGGAGCTCCGCCGTGACCTCCGCCGGGGAGAGCCAGAGCGGTGGCAGCGAGGAGAGAGGCAACAGCGAGGAACTTCATTTTGACGGTGGGTTGAAGTAAAGCGTTTGCTTGGAAGCGTTTAGAAAGTGAGAGAAGATTGTTTGAGTGGATGGATGGATGGATGGATGGATTGTTTGTGTGTTGATGAAGAAGCAGAACAGCAGGATGCGACTGTCCTTTTATACCTTTGGCAACCCTCTTGGGTGATATTGTTTTCGAAGCAGACTCGCTGAACAATTCCTGTTTGGAGCACTCAACGCCACTGCTGGGGTCCTTGCTGGAACTCATTCAAAACTCGATCATGCTGAGACTGGGCCTGAGGTGAAGGCTTCAATAGTCCGCATCCACAGATTCACGCAGGAACCAATTGTGCAGCAGTGCGGCCACCGCACAGTACTTCGTCTAGCAGCCATCAACAATAAATTCCCCACCCGTGCAATTGTCCTGCAATTGAGTTTAGAGGACAAACTCTCGCGCCTGCAGGGTGACAGGGGCTGATTCGGGGTCCGCAGATGTGATATATGATCTATCGCATATGGATCTCCGCATCCTGCAGCCCCAACACCCACTGCAGCCTGAATGTCAACAGACTGTGCATAACTAGTAAGTTTATGTCTTACAAGTTGTTGAGCTTTTTCTCCTCGTTTAGTCAGACCTACTCATCGGCAATCAAGCCAAGTAGCCTAGGACCAGACAAGCCATGTGCCTGGTGAAGCCCCTGCATCCAATAGTTCATCTATCCCTTGCAGCCTCTTCTTGAGAGTTAATTTTGTTTTCTCAGTAAACTTCTCCATGGTACACTGCCTAAGCTTCGGCCCTTACTCTGTTTCTAGTTGTACGTTTCGAGATCATTATACCTCGTGTTATGTGGAAATTGCATCGTAGAATAGTCGAGAGTTTGCAAAATAGTAAATTGAGTGTTCGTCTCAAGGTCACTGATGTACGTTACAAAGGCAGGAACAGCTCCCTGCTTGCCTCATAGAAAAAGCAATAACCTTGGCTTGGGTTAGTGGGTACGCCAACTCATCATAAACAAGGCCCTGGATGTCAGATCTATGACAAGTCCACTCCGTACCTAATTAGCTTCATGATCGGCAATGCTCATCACCGTCTTGATTAGTATTGTCTCGGCCTATTTTTGTAATTCAGTTTGTACTCCCCGTGCTGTACTCTACTCCATATGACGTGAATAAATGAGCACTATCAGCGAGATCCTCAGTTTAACCTCAGGTTGGCAACCCTTTACCTCGCATCTCAAGCAAAATGGTAAGATGGAGTTGGTCTCTGGGGAGGATACAAGGTTAATACGTAGGAAGAACCTTGAAAGACAAACGTACCCCAGACGTGCGAACTCTATTTCTCATGATCCACAGAGCTAGGTTCGGTTGCCTTGCTGCCATACCCTCAGGCCTTAATCTCTTGCCACCAGTCTCTTAACTTAAAAAAAAAAAGAGCTACAAAGGGGTGTCTATTGGTAGATGCAGTCAAATTGCTGGGCTAATCAAGGTAACCCGTTCTAGCTCGTAGAGATGATAATGCAGCAGATGTTCAACCTCTATTGTTTCCCTTCGTTGGCCATCACATCAGACCACAATTACGAAGTACTGTACTCCGTACTTCAGCGTAATGACCATCAGGAAATAGGATAACTGGTCTGTTTCGAAATAATGCAAGGCCATAAGATTGAAGTTCTTACTATGTACTGTTGATCTCTATCAACAGCCACCCAGCAGGAAACAAGACTGTCGTACACATAACCTCTGTCGTCCGATTTGTCTTCTTGTCTGACGATCTCAATATGCCCAATTCCGCCGGGTGTATTTGATACCTTCTTGTAATCTATTTCGAGGTTCGTTTATTGCGCTCAAGTGTTTGGATAGGACGGGGACCAGCTCATACGAGCGATCATCTCTGCTTGGAAGTTGGCACTTCATAGACCTCCAATGCTGGCCGAATGGAAACGGGCTTTCTTTTTCTAAAGAGTACCTGATTATCGGAGCAATTCAATTTAGTAGACAGATGCCTCGATGCCTTGAGTCTAGGCCCGGTGAACAAAAGTTCAATGCATTTGGATGTGTCCAGCTCTGCCATGACTAGAATGAGTCTGCCTATGCCTTGGAGAAGGCTATGAAGATCAGCATACAGACAGTCGCTGCTCGCATACGCCTCCTATTAACATTAGTCGCTTTATGCCTTGCTTCTACTGAACGATAATTATCGACTCCACCATCGCCACTCTCTTACAGCTACGTGGTAAACGCTCCAAGCCTATTACCTCCACCGACAACAGGACTCTCTCCTTCCGCTTCCACTACATTCCGACCTGACAGCTCATGTCTTGTCTGCGGTCCATCGGCTGGTTTCTCCTGCACCTGGCCTCGGGAGATAATCTCCACACCGCTGAAGGGGGACGGCCTCCTCGAAGCCACTCGACTTCGCCATCCGACGAGGAGAGCGGCCAACGCACCAAAGACAGCTACCGATCCCACACCCACACCAATCCCAATTCCTACTTTTGCTCCTGTTGACAGGGACGAATCGCGTGCCTGCGATGCAGAAACCGGTGTCGACGTCGACGGTATAGAGGCCGCTGGCGTGGCAGAAGAAGAGCTCGAGGGAGGTACCGTACTAACAGAGGTGGATGACACTGTCGACGTCGACGTCGACGCCAGAAGCCCCACCGCCAGCGTCGGCGCAAGTATGATCGCCTCTGACGTCCCACAGCACGCGGTGTTATTCTGCCCACAGCACCACGTCCGCGACTCGGGGGTATTCTCGCACGGCGTCAGCGGGACAGTATGTCCCGGATAGACCTAGCCAATAGCCATCAGTTATGCTGCTGTCATGGACCCTCAGGAAGATAATTACCTCGCCCTGAGTGCAGACGTTCAAGCACCCATTCGTCGACCAGTCCGTGCTGGTGCACAGAGTCCGCCAGTAGGTGTAGACCATCTGGCCTGTGCTCATCTTTTGCACAATATTCTGGCACAGGCCGTTCTCGAGACAGAAGTCCGCCGTGTAGCCCTTGGAGTCTGGTCCGCCCGGGGAATTGGGACGGTCAAGTGAGCAGCACATGCCGTTGACGCCTTGGACTCTGTTGCATGGTTGGTAGTTGTCGTCGGCGGTGCCGTTAGGGTAGTAGCAGGCTGAGGAAACAGGAGAAATCGCCAGAGAGAAGAGGGAAAAAAAAATTAATTTCTTGGATGGTCTCATAATGACGCTTGATTGTTTTGGTGGTGGAGGACATAACAAGGATGACGGAGAGGACTGACGCGTTCGTGGATTATCTATAAGGTATTGTCTTGTCCGACAAGCTGAGTTTGTGAGACTTCTGTGTAACCAGTTGGTCGCGGATCATGGAAGCGGACAAGGCCGATGGTATGTACTCGACCTCGTAGGCGAGTTTATGCTTAACGACGCCTGGTCTAACAGAGTTTGAACTTTTTGTCTGCTACTTAGGTGATCATAAAGTCGTTCTCATAAAGTCGTTCTCATTTTTAATCGCAACTTTTGATGTTGGTTGGTTGGGTTTTGGAGTGCAAGGCTGACTAGGAAATACAAACTGCTTCATACTGATGATCGGCTGTTCCGGAGTTCAGATGTCTCATAGCTAAGCTCATATCCAAGCCTCTTGAATGTTGGCTTATCCATCCTCTAACCGCTTGGAGATGATCGACGCGCCGTCGAATCACTAGGGTCCAACCAGAAGAATGTTCGCTGTTCAGCTTGTCAGATTTCATAAGGCTGTGTTTGCTTACTGCATACGCCGGCTGTGATTCGCTTTGGTAGTGGCCGACTTATGTGACTGCCTGGATAAGCGACGGTTCAACCATCGAATATGTCTCAAAGTCTGAGAAACTGAGTTGCGTTTCTCGCGCATGTTCCAGACGCTCAATATTCAAGAACACCTAGTCTATATATGCTCATAATGTATCATCCACATGATATATGCCCAAGTCTAAGGTATCCTATTCCGGGGTCACCAATCAAAAGACTCCTCCAGATATCGAAGTGATCGACATTCCCGCCGCATAGCCTGATGCACAGCCGCGCGGGCTTGGTCAGCCATCCCGGATGGCCCGCACACCAACACCAACAGAGACGAACTACTAAGCCTCGCTTCTTCCGCATGAGCTGTAATTATCGTCTGTAAGTCGGGTCGTCCGCACACATATTCCACCCCATCCACAATGTCAGCCTGAGACATAGACTCAGAAGTAACATAAAACGAGGCATGGAGGTCCCTCCTGCGAAGAGCCTCCTTTAACTCTCTTCCCGTAATATCGAGCATGAGGGCTGACTGCCGAGCGGCCCAGACGAGATGGATGTCCTGCGTCGAGGTCTGGCCGGTTGAAGAGCGGATGATGTGATCCTTGACGTAAGGTACCGCAGCGGCAATGCCAGTCCCGCCTGCGATCAGTAGGACGGATTCGTACTTCCAGAGCGGACATTGCTCGCCGTACGGTCCTTCGAGGAGGATGTTTGGCTGGATTGTCCGAGTTGGTGATTGCAAGCATTGATCGCGCAGATGTCGAGTCCATCCGTCATAGGGTCGGATCCAGAAATGCAGTGCCAGTTTGCGCTCTGGTAGGTCGGCTGCAGTGTCGATTGAGCCGTAGTCTGAGTTCGAACTGGGAGTGCCGGGAAGAAGAGGAATTTCCGAGACGTCGCCGCAATCGCTTTTCATACGGGAGCATGGAGCTGGAGGTGCGCCATCTTCATATGACCACGACCCCAGTGTGAAGGGATGATTTTCCCACCCTGTGAGCCGGAAGGGTTGGTAAAGAAAGTAGTATTGTCCCGAAGTTGGCTGCAGACCTGAAGCGGGGATCAGCTCCAGGCGAATGATATCAGCAGCCTCGTCGTATGTCGCGACGCATTCGGTACATTGGAAACGGCTGTGGGAACCGAGTCGGACATGCAAGTTGCAGTAGACCATCCGAATCAGGCGCAAGACTCGATCAGATATCCAAATCACAACGGCTGGCCAGAGATAGAACCAGTATTCGTGATCTTCAAATATGATAACGTGACTACAACTGTTAGAGACGACCTCTTCAAGGAAGACGCACTTACTAGAAACAACCGACAAGAGCGACAAAAGAGAAGAGAATATGAAAGACGAGGAAAGTCTCATAAGTCCTGCGTCGAAACCAGTCCACAGCAAATGGAAAGATCAATATCATGGCGGCCATACCCTGTGATAATCAGATCGCCGACCGATTTGAACTACCCGAAGACAGAGACTAGCTCACCAGTGTCCCCCATAAAAGATAAGGCTTTTGCATCTTCTTCCAAGCATTTCCCGCTGAAGGAATCATAAGCGAAGGTACGCAAGTGGGGAGGACAACCCACCTTGAACGAACAAGACAGTGTATAAAATTGTATGCACAACTGCCTGAAGAGTCGCTATCCAAGCCACATGGCGATGGAAAATGTTGAAAGTCGAGTAACTCCATCCGGTAGCCCAGAGAAATATGTTGTTGCGGCCTGCGAACAGCCATAAAAGAGGTATATTGGCAAAGGAGAGGATTCCCGTGCGATCCGCTACGTACCGCAGGAGCTGTGCCGATATTTCGGGCCAGCTGCAGCCGTCAGCATATGCAGATGGGCATAACTAACAAACTTACTAGATATTGTCCGAAAAGGTCCGATAACCGACGAGGCAGAGCACGATACTCAGAATCCAGAAAAGCAAGACAATGATCGCATGGATGCGTCCTGGGAATGTCCACCAAAGCAGCCGACGTCTGCTCGATGCGAGAGGCGCAGGAATAATCAAATTGGTTTGTATCCAGCCATATATCGACAATACCGGAGTAAGAAACGGCAGTGATCGCGCTCGCTTTGAACAAATCGCACGGGAAGCCAGTTTGTGTAGAGTTCCGACGGCGATCACAACGGTCCAATACGCATATCCCAGGTATCTAGCCCATCAGCTCTACCTTGACGTTCCATCAAATCAATGACTTACCCAAATGCATAGTGCGACCAAAGCTCAAATTGCCAGGCATCCTGTTTTGGTAAGCATGTAATACCGTATCAACACCCTGGCATGCTCACAATTGTTCGAAACACGCGACTGTAGTACAATCTGGATATCAGAATAGGAGTATCGACAGGTCCCTTCTTCGGCAATTCTCGAAACTCAACCACCCGCATCCGACTAATCGCGTCATCCGTCAGATTCAGGGCAAACTCCTCTTGAGGAATTAAATTTACGCCGGCGTATTCTCGACATTGGTCCTCAAGCAGTGCGAAACCTGTTTCTCTTTCCGCGTCTGAGCAATACACGGCAGAGGCGGCGTAGATTGATAGCACGCGTAGCCGATTCCGGCATCGTGGCGCCCACAGGCCTTTATCCGGGTATCCCGAGAAAGAAATATAGTCATATGCTGTGTATACAGCGGTCACACAGCGTTCATTCGGCGGAATGATCTGTGAGAGAGCATTTTGCAGGTGCGATAGGATTATCAAGCAACTAAGGAATAACATGACTAGCCATGAGGAAGGGACGAAAAGAGGGGAAGGAAAGAAAGTTGGCGGAGGGAGACCGTATTGGCATCAGGTCGGACCACAATCGGATGTCAGAGGTGACCCACCCGAAGAACGGAGGTAATGGTATCAGTCTGGAAAAATGGGTGTCGCACTGGTAGCCTCGAGTACTTTAACACTATTAGCATCAAATATTATAGGAAGACATGGCGTGACAGATGGATGCACAGATCGGGGTGAAGATATCCCAGGGTCCCCAAAATTGATGGAATTTATCTAATCTGATCATCAGGATCAGATAATGAGGTAACTCGATATGATTGGCTGACTGGATTCATTTCTGCGTCGACTTCGGGGAGGACCGGATTGCTGCCTTAAGTCCTCCATTCTTGAGTCGCGTCACGTGCAATCGATCCTGAGGAATCTGCGCATGTCTGTAGCTTTAGTGGCATTACTGCGAAATACTATTCCAAAATGTAGTTGTATACCACATGGAAGGAGCCTTGCATCTTTTGCTCCTGGTAACGAGAAAGAATCAGTAGCAGGAGGTTCTCTGCTTGGGTGCTAAGGTTTCTGCCATCTCTTTGTTGATACGACACGCGGTACGGGACCAACACCAATTTCCTGATCACACATCATTCCAGCGTTTGGATCCGTCGAATTCATTCCATCCACTCAGATAAGAGCACTCTCCACTTTGCTGTTTTTAAAGGACGTTTCATCTGTTCGCATTATTTGGTACAGATGTCTATCTTTATAACGCACTTGATACCATACACACCTGGAAGTGAATCAATGTTTTTTAGGTAACACAACAGAGTACCTATTCTCGGCGAATGGATTCCAGGGTTGAATACGAGCCTCTGTCCATAGGTAGCTAGTCAACTGGACAAGCCAAGAAATAGGCGTCAGGCTAAAAAAGACTAATCCCGCAGTCTGTCAGCGATTCCCTTTCAAAAGTCTTTGACATTTCGTCTTTCTGGTTCTGTACCACATACGGCAGTGCGGCTACAGAGTAATGCCATGGTTCCCGCCAACCGGACAATCGGCGCAAGATGGCTGGCGCTTCGACATCGTCAGCCTCCTCGCCATCATTGGTGAATCGACGCTTGAGCGACACGTTCAGGTCATCACCGCCTCTTCGTATGCCTGGCTCCCGCGCCTCCTCCCAGCCCCGCAGACCGTGCTCAAGACCGAGCGACCGGCTCGACTACCCTCCATCAAGGACGTCGTCATCACAGGCGTCTATTCCGGACTACATCTCACAGAACTGAACTTCTTCGCCGATGTGATCCACGATGTCGCCACCCTACAGCCGTACGAGTTCCGCGTGTACGACATCCACTACGCACACAAGGAGCCGAAGGAGGCGGAGGAGCTGCGGTCCCGACCGCGACTCTTGATAGATGGAGTATCAGAACCAGTTCACATCCCCGTGAAGAGATTTTGCGCTCTCAATGTCGTAAACTGGATCTCCGTGGTCATGACCATCGGTCTCTTCGTCTGGGCTGGTCTCATCCACGATGGGCTCGCAATGATCGCCCTCGTAAGCATGTCCCTGTCGACCAGTCTGGCCTGTCTTTCCTCGGAATGGTATCCCGTCCTCTCGCACCGTCCGACCGACGCCAAGGTCCCGCCGGGTGATATCGTGATCGCGACTCGCCACGGGGCGTTTGTAGTAGTCCGGTGCGACGAGGAGATCACGCGGGAGCTATATGGGGGCATAGAGACGTGCCGGTATGTGTTTGGCGATACATGGCATCGGGTGCTGCTGGGGACCAGCACGGTCCTGCTCATGGCCTCTGTGATTCTGTTCAACAACTGTGGCTGGACGATGCAGGCGGCCATCGGTATCGCGTATATCATTCTGAATATCTTGTACTGGGCGGTGCCGTTGATGATGCACCGCAAGTCGACGTGGGATATGAGCCGGTATGATATCAAGAGGGCTGCACCCAAGGCGCAACCGACCAAGCGAATGCCAAGCTACACAGAGACGCTGTGGTATGCCATCCGCGAGACTGGACGGACAGAGTGGGTTGAAAATAGCAAGCTCGCGCCGTCGACAGACGCCTGGCGAAAATGGCTGCAGGAGGCTGTGAGGAACTGTTACGACGGGTCCACGTGGGATCCGGTCGATGCCAAAGATCGCTTAATGTGGGAGGCCGCAGAGAGTGTGGCCCCAGCGACAAAATTAGACTGACACTATTAGCACGACTTTATGATTATCGTATTGTTTTCTATCAGATACATCATCACTTATATTCCTCTGCAAGGCGTAACTGTGGGTTCTCGTAAATCGTACAGTGTCGTCAAGTCATAAGCGTGGATCAATAGTATCTTTCGAGGCCATCCAAGGCATTTTGACACTGTCGAGGATGGAAGGGTCGTCATGAAATCTGTCGCTTTTGATGACCTCCTGGACAAACGACAGGTCGCGCTCTTGGATTCCGTCTGTCTGAGGGAGTGCATTGTCAAACACACAAGCTAGAAACCGCAGAAATGCAGACAACGCAGCAACGATAAAACTGCGCTCTTTGTGGTGGACACTGCGCATGACCTCGGCCAGCAGACCTGGCGCATAGTATGGAACAATCGCCACCCCGTCGCCAATGCCATCTACACTGAGCCCATCAGCCAGTCGACGTCTGGTAGACTCTGGTAGAATCTGGAAAGCCGTCTGGAACATCTCAGCCGAATATAGACTATCTCCTCGGCCCATGCAGAGCAGCCGCAGTAGCGTTCGTTCCTCAGCATCTTCGACAGAAAGCAAAGGAAATCCCTTCTCATGGAGCAGTTCCGCCCTGTCCAGCAGAATCCGGTCGTAGCATGCGCGCTCAGTCGGAATGTTTCCTCGCATGAACTCTCCAACAACGTCGATAGCACGTAGATAAGCCCGGGAGACCGACTCCGTCATGATTGCGCATCCTCTCGCATCACGATGGGCAGCCGCACCAGCGACATCGAGCAGCGTCACCATCGCGCGCATTTCGTAGCCGCATTCACCTTCACCTATCGACCGTAGCACAGAGAGACTCGCCGGCGCACACTCACCCTGCACCAGCTGCGAGAGATTAAGCTTGCTTCCGATCTGCAGGCTCTGCATGATCGCTTTCCTGTCGCGTGGGGGAACACCTGCCAGCGCCGGGATGCGGTCTGCTTCCGCAGCATGGTAGACTACCTCGGAATGGTTCGCTTCAGCTTCAGCATCGTCAGCCGTGGCTAAGGTAGAATCTTTGCCGATATCGTCGATGACGATCGCTACCAGTAACGCGTAGGTGTCGTCTGGCCCGTGCAGATTCCGGGTGATGGTTTCCTGCATGCGCTTGAACGTCTCCGGTGCTAATTTGTCTTCTGATTGACCGCGCGTGAAAGACTCGTAGTCGTCTGCCAGAATCCACTTGAGCGCCAGCATGCTGATCAGGGTGCGGTTGACCTCTGCGAATTCTGCGCCGTAGATCAGCGCGGATGGCGTTTTCCCATCCAAGCAGCAGGGAGGCGTGCTTGCGCCGGATTCAACCGTAGCACTAGCATTTCGGAGGTGAGAGAGCTCTGTCGGGAACGAAGATGCGAAAAGATGAATTGCCTTGGTGTCTGAAAGAGTTAAGAATTTCTCCCGCGCGATGACGTCGCGGAGCGTCATTTGAGGGTGAGAAGCAGATTGAGGACACCAGAGAAACCGTAGGGTTGATGAGACAAACGCTTTCATTCTTCTTAGCATTTCTGAATATGCAATCGAGGATATCGGACCATGGTGACGTTTTAAGCAAGAGTTGGCTGTACCAAAAACGCCTCGGGCTGCACAGCCGCACTGCCTGGTCACTAGCCACTTTGACCCTCTTGGAACAACGTCGACTTCGTATTTCATGGGCGCTTAACTGCTGGATCTCAGCCTCCTTCTCTTCCATAGTCGGTGAGAATCCATGTTGAAAATATGATGAGACGAGGATCTGTTGGATTGTTTTGGCAGCAAAAGGCCAATGATGCGAGATAAATATATTTTGGCGGGCGACATCCAATACTACTACTAGAGTGTATGTGAACCGTCGCTGGGCTGTCTACCATCTCATTTTTTTGACCGTCGTAGCTGCAGATGGGTGGTCCTCCATTCCGACCCTGTCATCCAGTGAATTTTTGTTTTTCTCGCCTAGATGCGATCTCCCCGAATTAAACCCCAGAGTTGGCCCTGAACGGTCTGATCAAATCCGCAAGGCTGACTCTACAGGAAGAGAAGACTATGGTTGAGAATAACTATGAAGATATCATTATTCTCGTACTGTTATCTCAGTTCACTCTTACTATGCACTAATCTTGACTCTATTCACTCTCGGTCTCTGAAAATTATTTATTCACCCGCCTACTAAATGCAAGCTACAAACTGAAGTAGACAGTCTCATCTCCATCCTTTACTCTCCTTCCACTCTCCATCTTCCCTCCTTCTTCCACTCTCCATCTTCCACTTCCTGCAGGTACACAGTCCTTCTCAACTCTCACCATGACAGAAGAATCGGCAAACGATGACCCGCAATTTGCGTTTAACTTTGCCGACATACCAGATGACATCAGGAAAGATGAAGGGCCCAAGGTCAAAAGGGTCGAATGGACCAAGAAGGAAGCCCATCGCACGCTTCTCAGATCAGTTATCAAAAATGGCCACCACCATCCAGATGCCTCCCCTGAAGGGGGATATTGCGGTCAACGGCAACTACTTCATGATTAGATTCTTTATTTGTTGCGGCCTGTACATCCTCTCCCACTCGCCAGTCATTGTGGAATGGTACCGCAAGGCACCTAGGTACTGAGTTCGGATATTGACTACCTTGACGTGTCACGAGAACAAGGACAGTAACTAACTCATGCATATTACAGTGCCCCCGTTACAAACAACTACAACTACTATTGCAACCAGGGTTGCAACTGTGTTGGCTCTGCCAACAAAACTGGTCCCGTCAATCCGCCTAAACTGCCACCACCATGCATGTCACCAAGGCCCGGGCTGGGCCGAAAGAGGCAACGAGCCCGACCCCTGATAAATGAGATTCGATGGCCAGCAAGTCCAGCACAAGCAGTGGCGGCGGGTTTCGGCCCACTGTAAGGGCCTCCGCAAGGCTTCAGTCTCCCCCCGGCCTACGCCATCGACCTGGGCGCAGCCCTGCCGGCCGTGATTCGACCCCTGATGACGGTTGGGACGGCCGGAAAGGGGAGCTTCTGCCCTACCATGATAGAGGCCTTTTTTTTTCTCTTATTTTTTGTTTGGTTGTTGTTTTGATTTGTCTTTCTCGTTTTTGCGCTTCGGCGCCAGGCACATAGGCCGGATGGGTGGGAGGGTGCGCTAGTCGCACCGACCTGTATTGCCTCATGTACTTAGTACAATAAGAATCTTGATTTACCACACGCTGTAGAATTTCTCTACTACTTATCCACTGTAGCAGGCACCAGAACAGAGTCGCAGAATGCCTCGCAGATCATAAGTCATATGAATGTCATTGAGATAACCTTGCGTTCATTAGAAGACAATTCTTCCCTTGCTAGTGGCGCAGACTCACCTGTCTATAGGAACTCATCTGTGGTAGCTTTTGTGCTAGCTACTATTCTTGGGAGCTCCGTGGACGGGCAATATTTTGTCGATGCAGGACCAGGCTTTGAGCGTTCCGAATCGGCATGGAAGGACTAATAGTAATAGGAGGCGTATGCTCTCCGCAACTGTATGTGTGCTATCTTCATGGCTTTGTCCGAGGCATATTGGGAATCATATCATGACAAGCTCATTCGAGTCTTGTAAGAACTGATCACATCCGAACACATTGGGCTTTTGGTTACCTGGAAGGACATTCGTAGTCGATGATGGCGGTTCTAGACTCATGCCTTGAGCCATCTGTCTACTACATTGAACTAATTACTCCTTAGGAAAAGAAAGCCGCATTTCTATTAGGCTCGGCATTGTACGCCTATGAAGCGCCATACTCCAAATGGAGATAATTGCTTGTATGAGCTGGTTATTGTCCTATTCAGGAACATTTGAACGTAATAAACAAACATAGAAACAGATTAGAATGCAAGCCCAGGAGCGATCCTAGATGGACGGCGCTACATTCCTGATCGAAGGGGAAGTAACTAGTACTTGCTTTGACGACTGAAAGAGGAAGTTGAAACCTTTGACAGGTAATGTATGTAAGCGATGATGGACAAACATGGAAGCAACGTAGCTAGCCATAAGATCATAATTCAAACTCGTGATACGCCATAATGTAGTGCGAGATGTCTATTCTGCGATTTAAATGAGAATCACTCGTGTCCCCCCGAATGTCAATGTCTTGGGCCGAGACCGACAGTACAGGCTTGTCCGGTTGATCAGCCGAGGTATTCTGGATGCTGAACTCGTCGTGTAGACCGATTTTAAGATAGAGGCCCTGGGACGACCTATGTTCATTAGCTGCGCTGAGGAACCCGAGGATGGTGCAGCTGTTAAGCTAGAAGTTGCAGGGCGCGCCGGGCTCGGGATACGGCTGGAAAACGCACGCTTCTTCTTTTTACGGCTGGAATGCCTCGAACGGCTTGCGCGATGTCTAGAGATCTCAGTCGTCGAGGGCGGAGGATTTGCCACGTCGCTGTAGTCCTGACACGTATTCGAATGTGCACTTGAACGGCTGGTTTGATGTCTAGAGCTCTCAGTCGTCAAGGCCGGAGGATTTGTGACTTGGTTGTCGCTCTGGCGGCGGCTATTGTAGTAACAGTTGCAGGTGCTGCGGTAGCCGTTGTGGTGGTAGTAGTAGTTAACTATAGGGGCGGCATCTTTCACTGCGGCATTCATCCTACAAAGATGAGTCGCTTGTTACCCCGGTGATCCATATTCGATGTACTTCTCATGAAGTGCTACGTACCTTCGTGTAGCTAGGGCCCCGTATATTAGGAGAAGTATCGTTGGTACGAATATACAAGCCAATAATATGAAGAAAGTCTCCATGATCTCCATGATGATTTCAATGTGAATGCCACAAGTCGGATGAGGTCGTTACTCGTTCGACTTGGAAGTGATTGGAGACCTCCGTCGTCACAACCGAGCAAGAAAGGTATCAGTAAAAGGGATAAAGTTTTAGTCTGTATATTACCTTGATATTCGACAAAAAAGAGTAGATGGCTTGGCTGATTGAGTGATCTGGAGGAAGGTAGACGAAAGGTAGGTAGGTATATGTTGCATGTGGTCCACAACAAATCATGACGTATTTTGCTGCTCTCTAAGTCATTGATAGGAACCAAAATAGGTAGTTTTAGGTGAAATGTCAGGCATGTTTTGTGTTTTAGTATTTCTGCAACTCTTTTTAGATTTCAGTTTCTCTGTGGTTACTGTCGGTGTCGAGGTGTAGTTCAGTAGCAAAACATATGACGGAAATGCTTATTCCTCTCTATGTAATATCATGGCATTCTCCAAAATCTACGGCATGATTTACGGTCTCGTAATAGGGAGAATGTGTCAATGGAAATGGTGGAGGAAGAGGATTCAAGCTTGTGCCATAAGGGCATGTGCGTCCATTACCACTGCAATATGCATGAGTTAGCGACTGTTCCTGTTCTTCTTACATCTCTATCAACCTTACTTGCTGTCCCTGCGCGAACACATCGTATGACAGCAATGCTCTTACTGTCTAAAAGCCAGCAAAAATTACAAGTATTGTGAAGAAAATTTCCAGTCATTGCTCACTTCTCAATCCTTCGATAGCTATAGTGATATTCAGGCTATCCTCTTCGCATTTCCGAGCAGATCTCAAAGACGTCGTCAACTTCGCCCCAGGCATCTCAAACATTGGAATGTACGTTCCAGACTAATATAGCGATGGTCTCCATATCCGATTTGTCCAGGACAATGTCCCCTTCGCCAGGATTGGCGGGTCGAAGGAAAAAGTGCTCGAAGGGAAGCGTCAGAGGGCATCCTGTCACGCGAATGGGATCGTTGACTGTCTTCTGGGATATAACAGCCCGCTGAGTTATTTCAGCGACTTTTTTGTTTGCATCCTGTCTTGTTCCCCGTGGGATTAATTCCCATTTTTCGATAGTCACTTCTCTTTTCTTTTGGTGAACAGTAATGTTAAGAGCTGTTTTCACGTCACCACCTGCTTCGAACAGCCACCAGCGAGTGTCATCCGCAAGCTTCGTTCTTGGCTGAGAGTACCTGGCTAGGATTACCACTGTAGGCCACAGGTCAGAACGGGTTTGCGGGAGGTCTTTAGGTCGGTATGTCTGGTCGGCGTGCTTGGTGCGCCCGTTCGATGTAATTGCGACTTGCCCCATCACTTGTAGCTCCAAGTCCAACCCATTCAAGAGCACAAGCTTGCGATTGATCAAAGTATTGAGGGCATTATGTGCCTGTTCATGAGCAGCTGTGGTCATCCTCACAAGAAGTAGAGCAAGATCCGGAATGTATTCGTAAAATGAGCTGCTGAAAAGCTTTTCGCATGGATCAGAGAAAGTCTCTGAGAATGTTTGCTCGTCAACATTAGAAAAAATAATAAACTGGCTTCTATGGCCAGTCATGCCTTCCACAAAGGCAGGATATTCACTATCAAGGACTTTAAGGAAATGCTGTTCTCCGCAGTACTGATATTCACTGGTTGAAGGACTAACATGGAATAGCTGCTGATAGCTATTGTGCCTACCTGCTTTCACTGCCATCATGACTGGGTAGCTGGCTTTGATGGTATCCGCTTGTAGTAAAAGGCAGATGGTGTCGCAGTCAGGGTACTTCTATGGTCATGAGAATCCCAAAGGGGTCGTCCTGGTTACCTTTGTTTGTCTATTGGGTCTTGCAGCAATGATTATGTCTGGAGGTTTGCCATACGAGAGGGCGGCGAAATATGTCATGATTTGTCGTTGGTCACACAAAACATATACCTACCTACTTCGTGCACCTTCCTCCGGAGGTATCAATCCTCATTTAGCCAGGACATCAACTCTTTTGTCGAGTATCAAGTCTATCTACAACTCAGTCGCTGTTCTTCCTCAGTTGTACCAGTAGAGGTCTCCAAGCACTCCCAAGTGTAAGCGAACTCATCCGAGCGTTGTGGCATACAATTAAAGACACGATGGAGGACCTCGCTCTCTACGCACCCTGGGCTATTATGAGGCTATCCACCCTATTCATGCTATTTGGATTGATGTATATCATCCTAGCCGAACCAAGGTATGTAGAAGTTCACGAGAATTATATCGAATATGGATTACCGTGATGAGTAACTCATCTTTATAGGAAGAAAGTCGCCTCTGGGAAATGCACGTGTCAATATCCAGACTGTCAACATCAAAATCCCTGCCGGACCGACGGCGAAGTCGCAAATCCCCCGACCTTGAAAAGCGACGTCCCGAAGCCTCCACCAGCGACAGATCCCTCTATAATTGACTACTACTACCACTACTACTGCTACTACCGCAGCTACCACTATCCAGATGTCTACCTGACCGACAGTGAAGTCACAAATCCTCCGCCCTTGACAACTGAGAGCGTTAAGTCAGACACGAGCCATTTAAGTCCATATCCGACTGCCTGTCAGGACTACAACGATGTCCCAGAGCCTCCGCCTGCGACAGATCCCTCTATAGTCTACTACTACTACTACTTCTACTCCTACTACTACTTCTCTCACTATCCAAATGACCTTCAGACCGACAGTGAAGTCACAAATCCTCCGTCCTCGACAACTGAGAGCTCTAGACATGTCACCAGCCGTTCTAGGCGTTCGGGGCATCAAAAGAAGAGGCGTGCGTTTTCCAGCCGTATCCCGAGCCCAGGGGCTTCTAGCTTAACAGCTGCAGCATCCTTACATTCCTCAGCGCGAGAAGAACAGCGAATGAACATAGGTCGTCCAAGGGCCTCTATCTTGAAATCTGTCTACATGACGAGTTGGGCATCCAGAATACCTCGGCCGATCAATCGGGACAGGCTACACTGTCGGTCTCGGCCTAAGAAGGTGACATTCGGGGAATCCCGAGTGATTCGATTTTACAAATAGACATCCCACACTTCATGCAATGTGGCATGAGTTTGAATTATATTATGACTAGCGACGTTGCTCCCATGTTTGCCCTATCTTTTTTTCCATACAATGTCTGGCATAGTTATCAAGATTGCTCTTGGACTTGCAATTTATCGTTCATCTCTTCTTGAAACTGCAGTTTATCATTCCACGAGTTTATATTCGCTTTATACTCTTGTCAACCAGTTTCGATTCGAAACAGCCTAATGGAAAGTCGGGCCAACTATGAAAGCGGACACCGTCGAGATCAACAATCGACAATTGATTTGCTTTTGCTGAATTGATTTACGTACTTTGATGGTCTGCCAAACTCCTAATAAGACAATGAACAAATGCGCAATATCACCGTCTATTCCTACCGAGTTCTAGCGAGCAAACAATAGATACTAGCGACACGTATATGCAGAATAAGTCCCGCAAAGACATAAGTCATACCAATAAAGAGACAGCATAGGGGGGAGTGTAATCACGGAGGTACTCCGTAGTTTGTTTTCAGTTTAATTGTCGTTATCAGATCTTACCATGCGGCTATGCTATTTACGGACGTGTCTTTCTCTTTACCGTCTGTTTCACCGGTGGATGTCAGATTGGCGATATCAGCATCGTCCAATTGATTCGGCTGAATGGGACGGTACAGGAGGGCACTACAGAATAGTCTGATCTTAATGAGACCCTGACCCACAAGACCACGTTTTCATTCGTTGGTCTTTTTCTCACTGCATTCCGCTGGATTGTCTAAAGTGAACGGCTTCATAAATGCCACCGACTAACTGTTTCGGGGCATGCCTCAGTCCGGTCTGTTTGGTCCATGGCCCTCAAGCTTCGATATGAATATCATATAGACCTATCTCACTGAAAAGTCGGTTGACTTTTCTTCAATATATAAGAGTCCTGAGATCTCCTCCGGCAACAATTCAAATCCCCCAGACCAACTCCCTTCTCTCATTGAAACCACTTCAAGATGGCCCATCGTCCTCAGCAAAGCCCCAGTGCCCTCCATTTTCCCGCCCCCTACATCTCCATCGGCGATGGCACCACCACGCCGTTGGAGTTAGTCTACGCACTGGTAAGTACGCTAACAAATCATTGGCCATCCCAATTCTTACGATAATGTGGTCAAAGGACGAATATGGCGTCCACCAAGCCATCGATGAAACTTGCATGCCACGAGGACTGACTCTGCCAACCACACCTCCGGACTCCAGTACTCAGCAAAGTGAGCACGAAGAGCATAGTCTGGATCCACATATGGTGGACGTGCTGCAGCACGATTGCATAACAAAAAATGTATTTTGGCCCCTTCCGGCCCCCACGTTGTGCACTATCGCTAGCGCTAAGCTGACTCAATCCTAGGTCCGACGGCGCATGCAGAACCGAGAGGCCCAGCGCCGCTTCCGCGAGCGCAAGGACCAACAGCAGAAAACCCTCCAGCAAAAAGCTGAGGATCTTCAAATCAAATGCCAGACTTTGCTGGATCAGTACACCAAGCGGACCGACGAGGTCTGCCGCTTGCTCAAAGAGAACGACGCCCTACGATCCGAGGTCAAGACCCTCCGCCAGCAATGGGAGGTTATCTCCACTATTTTGCACCGGCCGAAAGGTTCCCGCTCCCCGTCTGTTCTTGTGGATGAGGCTTCGCCGTCCCCGTCGCTTTGTTCCTCGGCTGAAAGGTCAAGGAAATTGGATGACTTCTGGCGGCGTCTGGATAATTTCACCGATGATAGGCAGAATTCCTCCAGCCTTAGTTAGTTGTCCATCCCGTCTATGGTCTGACTTGTTTTACTTTTTCACCTATGATGATGATATCCCTATCTCCTTTTTCTTGGCTACATAATCGGAAATGGCTTGTTGAAGGGAATTGGGTGGGATACATGTCCGACTCGACCAGTGCTGCCACATCGCGACTTCTGCCATTACTAACTGTGTATCTAATGCTGACAACTGAATTTACTCCGTCTGGTTGGCTGTTTTTATCACGCTCGTCCTTCCCGACCGGAGAGGGAGGGCTGATTGGGTTACTACGCGATTGTGGCTTGAGCGGTATACATCAACCTGTTTCATCTGCTAACCCGAAACGGGAAATTCGTCCCTTCTATGATTGGGATGGACGGCACTCGCTCATGTAGCCATACAAAAGATACGTGATGAGAGTGTCGGCTCTCAATTCATCAGCGAGCTCTGTTCAGTTATAACACAGTCACCATGTCGTCCGCAGTTTCATCAAAACCATCATCGTCGTTCTGGTCACCCCCGGGAACCGAGGCCTCACCCATGCTCCGTAGCAACTCCAAGCCCACCTTTCTGTTCGTCGACTCGCAGGCCGACAACCCGCAGAATCCATCGGTTAACAAGCAAAAGCAGGCATTTCTCCTGCGAAACTACCACCGAAAGAAGAAACAAGCCTCGATTGAGAGGCTGAAGCCTTCAAAGCCATCGAAACCATCCCAATGTCTTGTCCACGGCGGAACCTCGAATTTCTCGCTAGCATATCCTTGGGATGCCCTCGCAAAAGAGAATGAAGAGTCCCAGTCAGACCGTCCGCAGGGCACTCTTAATCAGGTTGCAAAAATGTCAGAGATGTGGTCTCTGAAAGCGTATCTGAGCCAGGGTTTTGCGGATCCCTTTTCCGCCTCGGCCGTGCAAATGTCCGACTCGATGAATCTGTATTTTCATCACTGTATGAGCTGCTCACGGTTCAATGAATAGACACGCTGACGAATCTAGTCCGGATTCACACCATCGCCTCCTGTTATCCCCTTGACTCCACCCGCATGAGCATTTGGTGGTGGCAGCGAGCAATCTCCCAGCCGGCTCTGCTCCAAGCGCTGCTCTTCCTCACGGCGGGACACCACGCAACCCTCGAATCCAACAACGGAGTCTCCTCCACAGCCATCGAAAAATCAATCAAAGACTCCCTCCGTCTCCGCGGGAACACCCTCAAAACGCTGAACGATATCCTGCAAGATCCCATAAAAGCCGTCGCAGAGTCCACCACCCTCATCGTAGCGTCGCTGGTGGCCATCGAGGCTGTGGATGCCAACTTTGAGGCTGTGCACGCACACATGAAAGGTCTAAAGAGACTCATCCATCTCCTTGGCGGCCTCGACGCCCTGGACCACATGACCCTCTCCAAAATCTACCAGTACGTCCAGTTCCATTTCCCCATCAAGACGAAGAGACGGAAGTGACAAAGCTTGTGCAGGAGCGATGTCAAAAGCGCAGCCCTCCAAAACTCCCGTCCCACGTTTCCCATGTCTGCTCGCTGGCGTAGCGAAATTCTCCAAGAATTAACCCTCTTCCGTTCAACGGAACACCTTCGCGTCTCCAAGTCTCTCGACGCACTGGGGAGCCGCTTCTTCGCCGCACCGTGGTACACAGCCTTAGAAAACACCATGAAGACGTTCGTCCAGATCCTGCGGCGCCTAATCATTTACTTCGAGACCGCGCAGCAGCAGCCCTCGATTGTCCTGCCGACGGACAACGACCTCTTCTTGGTGTTTGAGCACCAGCTGCTATCGGCCGTGTATGAGACCGGTACGACTCTGTTGCAGGAGCCACTACGCTTGTCTCTGCTGATCTACCTGAATCTGCGGATCTGGCATTTCCAGGCCTTTCCGTTCATGCAGTTCATGGTCGAGGCTTTGAGGAGGAGTCTGGTACCGGCGTACGGACATGTCCAGTCCACCGCGCCGGATCTCCTCTTCTGGATCCTGTTCATCGGAGGGATGGCGTCGCAAGGATATAAATGTCACCCCTGGTTCGTCAGTCGGTTAACGGACATGGCGCGTCGTCTGGATTTGGTCGAATGGGAGGAAGCGAGGGAAACGCTAGGTGGGTTCTTCTATACCGATCAGCCGGGCGAGAGAGGCGCAGAGAATCTGTGGAACGAGGTGCTTCTGATGGAGAGTTGTAAGTACTTATATGACCTTGATCTGAGCATGCGGCTAACGTTATGGCAGACCCGTACATCGCCCCAAAACCGACATACCAAGTCCTCGTGTTATGATGCTTTGAGAAGAGAGCCACTGAGGATTGACAGCACCCCGTCCCAAAGCCGCGTCCACTTGAACACCGGGGGCTGCCAATCCCTGACTAAGGGTCTCAGACGGGTGCCGATCTCCTCCCCCACCTGGTCGGCCACCTTGTCCAAGACCCTCCCAACAGCCTTGCACACGAACCAGGCTAGGAAGAGGACCGGGACGATCCAAACATACTCGAACTCTACAAGAGCCGGCATGTTAAAAATGAAAGTAAAATTGATGATAAAATTGTAGGAAGAAGCGAGTGTTGTGTAAAAGAATGTTAGGATAACAGTTAGAAAACAAAAGAGAAGAAGACAACAACTCGACAGCGACAAGAAGCTGCATGTTCTGTTCAACTCAAGCTTAAGCCAGGTAAAGGAAGGCGCTCCCCAATAACCTCAGAACATACCCTCATCAGGTGCTGGAGGAAGGCGCGGATGGGGAGGTCGACGACGACCGCTCCTGATGCAACAGGCACACTCCTCGGTACAATGTCCATAGACTCCATGGACTTCCTCTTGATCTTCTGAAGGACGCAGATATGTCAGTAGAGGTTTCCTGCAGCAGCCGCACGTCTGCCCACAGCAGCCTCCGAGATCCGCGCATTTCTCCTGGTCCCATACCCAAGCATAAGGCCGGCCATGGCGGTCTTTGTGTGCACGGAGAAGCTGCAGCTTCTCCAATTCATATTCACTTTGCCATGACTCCTGCATCTTTCGCAACCCGGCTGCATTCTTCCAGTAGTCGACCGTGAGGTCCTGGACGGCCTTTTGGAAATTCTCTCGCTGCGTCTGGGTGATATAACCCGGTGGACGCTTCTCCGTGACAGCCGGATCCTCCTCGTCTCCCGGTAATTGCATCAAACGGTGTCGCCGCTGGAGGATAGCGAAACCGCGTGCCTCTTGCTCCAAAAAGGGGTTGACCTGATTGTTCAGGACGTTGATCCGCCGCTGCGTTCCTCGCGTTCTTGGCTCGGCCCAGGACCAGTCACTCTGCCATCGTTTGTGGGCCGACCTGAATTTCCGTTCGCACTTGGGCGTTTCCTCCTCCCCGTCCTTCCTGTTCTTGCGAAACAAAAACATCTTTCTTTGTGTGCAGATTTCCTATGTGAGGTGATTGTTGAGCGAAAGTTACGGACAAGATTTGGCAGCTGTTTGGTGTTCTGTCTATAGGTAGTATGAGGTCAGCATGAGTCGTGCATTTCATTCTTGAGACCATTCCTTTTCGGAATCCGACATTCAGACTTGAGATCCCTAACTTGGATCATATGTGTCTGCAATCGCTTGATTGGACAGTTATTAGATTCTTGTTATATATTTATTACAGAATATAACCAAGACTCTTACGATGTACCAGAAGTGCATGTGTCAACATTACATTCGATGGACGACTAAAAATTCAGTATGCCAATGCAAAGGCCACCTGGCCAAACACTTCGTTACATTTTCCTTTTGTCCTCCTTGTTTTCATTTTTGTCGTCGTCGTTGGAGGAGGAGGGCAGAGGTGCCCGCAGGCACGCACACACACCTGCAGCCAGGGCAGGGGCCGGTGCCACTATAATAAGAATCAGTCAGTAAACTGTTCGAGAAATCCATGAGTATAGGAGGTTGGCGATGGCACTGCATTAGCCCTGGCTTTATAGTAAAGTAGGTAGTACATTGCTATGCGGACAGAGTTGTCCGTGTGCCGACGTCCTACTCACCAAGCCTAGAAACTCCGAATGCCCTGTAGAACAACCGAAATCAAAGGCAAGACCGTGCGAACAAGGAAAGACTCATACATAAAAGGAAGATGCGTGGACGTTGTCTCGTAGATGTGAATCTGTCTTATCAACACCGCACTGTGAGGTTCACCCCACGACCGGACTGCTGTATACTGAACTACCCTCTATCGGAGAGCTCATCGGGACGGGGAGATTTGATGTCACTAGCACTCTCTATCTTCCTGTTGCGTGTTCTTCTCCTTGGCTGCTTCAAATTGGACTAGCGGTCCTAGCTGTATCATGAAGTCTGCGGCAAGCGCGCAGAGCTTATTCAGAAGCGAGCATTTAATACTATCTAACCTGGGCGGGCCGTCGGTAAACTGCCTAAGGTACTCCTGATCTCCCCGGAATGTCTCAGGTAAAGCTTTTTTTGGGTCGGTGTGACGCCCCTGCCGGGCTTTGGACCCGAGAAGAGGCCCTTGCCGAAGGTTTGTGGAAAAACAAGACTTTGATTATACTATTGTACACGAAGCAACATAGGCCTGTGCGTAGCGCACTTTTCGTACCCATTCGGCCTACGTGCCTTGGCGCCGAAGCGCGAAAACGAAAAAGACAAAAGAAAAGAAAAGAAAAGAGAAGACCGCTATCAAAAAGGGCAGAAGTGCTCCTTTGTGGCCGTCCCAGCCGTCAGCGGGCGCCCCCTCGCTATCCCAGTGTACAGACTTTCCGCCATAGAACTTGCATTGTGCACCTCTCGAATGCCATATACAATTCGCGCAAGCACCGGCGAAAAGCACGCGCCATTTGCCATCAGCGTTGGACACTTCGTGCGCTGCGACGCAAGACTGAAACACGCCGCCGTTCTTCGCACTGACTGCAAGGTTCGCTGGCTTCTTCTCCACGAGCTTGGAGAAGTACCGCGTCGCGATGCCACCGATTCTTTAGCTCCTTCTGATGTTCTTTACCATTTTTGGTTGCCCAATCAACAGCACTGACGGGATCCAGAAGCACGACACAACTACGCTGGGTACGAGTGAGTTTAGACTTGACCTCTCGCTCCGCAGCACGAACTGCACCGGTTCGACCGGCAACGTTGAGCGGCATATCTTTAACGGAATCAGGAACAGGAGTGTAGTAACCGAGAAGCTGCAAGAGACGAACACGACTTGAGAATGAAAGGGACTGTAATAGTCCATCAATTTGAACGAACAAAAGTTGGGCCAGGGGATCTAACATCGAGGCTTGTTTACAAACATCTCGCGTGTGCGCGGCCGCCAGGGCTGCGCCCAGTTCGGTGTCGTAGGCCCGGGGACTCTGGAGCCTTGCGGAGGCCCTTGCAGTGGATCGAACTCTACTGCCACTACTGGTGCTCGACTTGCTGGCCGTTGATAACGCTGAATCCCTTTTTCAGAGGCCGGGCTCGTGGCCTCTTTCGGCCCGGCCCGGGCCTTGGTGGCATGCGTGGTGTTGGCGGCTGTGGAGGCGGGAGGAAGCTTGGCGGGAGGAGGATTGGTGGCAGAGCCAACCCATTTGCAACAATGGTTACCATGGTGGTAGTTGTTCGTAACAGGACCACTGTAATAGGAATGAGTTGGTTACTGTCCTTGTTCTTCTTGTGAACCGGTCATGGTAGTCAATATCACTCACCCATATTTGTGGTGGGCAAAAGCCGAGGAATCGGTTCTCAATTGACAGTTGTCTGGTCTGCCCCTGGTAGTTGATGAGGTGCTCGTTGATCAATCCGCACAGATATCGAAACTTGGACGACCCGTTCATGACCATGTCTAGGTTATCACTGATTGGGCACTGTCCTGGGTTACGATGCCATCCTAGTCGGTCGAGATCGTTTTAAGAAAATGCGAGATTCTTCATACCACCTAACTGGTCAGCAAGGTCAAGAAGCCCGGGTAAGCTCGTGAGGATCCGCAGCTGCCCAAGCTTGCGTAAGCCTACTGCAGAGAGTTAAAATCATTTTCTCCCAGCCATCCGCCTGAGCCTGCTGGGCAGCAGCTCTGATCCGGTCCAGTTCGCTGGACACTGCAGAATCCATTGGTCTGATAGTATCAAGATAAGACGCTGGGATGGGGCAGTCCACGTCCATCCTCTTGTATGGCTGGCGGCCCCGAGTGGGCGCCGGCGAAGAGGACGTGCCGCCTGTGGGGGGCGAGGAGGACGTTCTGCCTGTGGCAGGCGAGGAGGAAGCGCCATGCTGGTGGGATGCCGGAGGGCCGGAGGAGGGGGCCGGAGCAGAGCCCGAGCCCGCAGACGGGCGGCCGAAGGCCCAGGGGAGCCAGCGAGAAAGCCAGGCAGAGATGTGGCGACAGGAGGATGCCCCTTTAGGGACGCACACACATCCAGCACAGTGCGTGCCGTTGGTGCTGTGAAGGCTCCAGTTAGTGATTATCCTTGCTCTTCATAGACACAGTCAAGGTAGTCAGTTCAGAACTAACATAATTTTTTGCCTATAACGGGCGACCATTACTGGTGACCATCCCATGGCCACTGTGAAAATGCAGGCCCATAGCCAAAAGGCTATCCAGCCGCCGCTGAAACTGAGGTCGGCTTTATGTTCGGAAAAGAAACGCTCATTGTAGGTTTGAATGGGCTTTGATTCATAAACCTCGAGGCCCTTGTTGACCCGTGGCGCCGAATTGAAAAGTTGGAGGAGGGGGAGGAATATTATTCGACATTCTGCCATAAGGCCACATGCCACTGCAATAGGCATGAGTTAGTGGCTGTTCTTATTCTTCTTGGATACAGTGAACTGACCCATAGTGGTGGTGAACGATCTCGGTTACCACTGGTAACCAAAATAGCGAGCAGATTAGAATGGCGACGATGCCGGTGGCATCAAAGCCAATCTCTCCTTTGATGCCGCAAATGTCGACCCAGTTGCCCATGCATCTGCTTTGGGGCCCTCAGGCCTTCCACGGAGTCTGGCAGTTGAGAAGATAAGTTAACAAGGCGATCAATTCATGCTACTATCAGAATACGTACCTTACTGTGACCAATGCTGCACCAGCAGTACCGAAAAAGAGGAAAGCAATTGTGACAATTGTATAGATACCCAGTATCAGGAGCCACGAGGCGGTACTTGTAGGCTAACAGAATCGTCGAACCTAAACACGCCGCCATTAAAGTCGTCAGCCTATGCTTTCACAATCAGAGTTAAGACGAATGGTTTACCTGACCACCGCGGGAGGCTCCCACTTTAGCACAGGGTGCTGCCAATCCCTGACAAAGGGTCTCAGCCGGTTCGAGGCCTTCCAAGAGCCTTACAAACGAACCAGGCTACGAAGAGGACGGGGACGATCCAAACATACCTATACTCTACAAGAGCAGGCATGTTTAAAAATTGAAAGTATAAAAATTGTAAAATAAGCGAGTGTAAAGTAGCGAATGTGGGATAACAGCTATTGAAGTTGTCAACATACGCTTTCACATTCAGAGTCGAAAGGATTCCTCACTTGATCAGCGTGGGAGCTTCCCACTTTAGCACAGGGTGCTGCCAATCCCTGACAAAGGGTTTCAGTCGATTCAAGTCCTTCCAAGAGCCTTACAAACGAACCAGGCTAGGAAGAGCACCGGAACGATCCAACATACTGCCATTAGACGACAGGAGACATGTTAAAAATGAAATATAGGATAAGCAAATGTAGAATTACACCGAGTGTAGTGGATGAGAAGGAGAGAAGAATGGGTTTCAAGGACCGGAGGGAGCAGGCAGGAAGCTCGGTGGGAAGACCCCTTTATATCTTTCTTGAGAGAGGAGACTGAATTTGACACCAGTGAATAGAAAGAAGAGTTCGCTTGTCAAAGTCCTTGCGGTGAATGAAGATGAGACGCATTGTGAATGTGAGGAGATGAGAAAGCAACCTTTGTGGGCGATGCTGGCCACCCAGTACGGAGGAGCGCTCGCCCTCCCTTTCGGGAAGGATGACACCTCAGGCCGGGGCAGGCGCTGCTAATAATCCATGACGTGATCGAGGAACACATAAACAGCAAGACCTATCTTGCATTTCGACCTCTACATTCACTGAGTCTTGCTATTTACATGAGGAGTGGATTAAGTTGTCACTACCTTAGGTATATTGTAACTTTCCCACGGGTTTCTCAGTGAGCACTCAAATGCGTCTACTTGCCGACACTACATCAGTAATTCATAGTTCACCGAGTAAATGCAAAGGCAGACAGGCGTGGTCCAAATTAAACGTATATATTTAAGAATCCACGAGTCATAATATACATCACCATCAGTGACACGTGTCATGAAATCATCAGACGGGAACTAGTCGGATCGTTTCATTAAATAACCTATAGGCACAGTCACCTTCATTTACCAGAGATATACCCACGCGACAATTAAGCCTCGTCGGTGATCTTCTCGATGACATGTCCATCGGGCTGGACAACAACCTTGTCGACCTGGAGCGAGGCCTTGACGGGCTTGGGCTGCTGGTAGACCCACTCGAGTTCCTCGAGCGTACGACCCTGGGATTCAACACTATTCCGGTCAGACTAGACTTTACAACTTTACGGTAGAGGAAGGACATACCCAAACAGATACCAGCACAGAGACTCGAACAAGTCCCATCCGACGAAGATCCAAAAGTAGTGGGTGGAGATATTCTGCAGACCGATGGGACTGGCGTACTGGCTGACAAAACTGATGCAGCTGACCATGAAACCGGACAGGGCGAGACCCTTGGCACGAGTGGTGGTTTCGAGGGCCTCGGCGGGAATGACACCCTGCAGGGGGGTATAGGTGAAGGAGAAGACGACGTTGAAGAGGTAGTAGAAGGCGACGGCGGTCTGGCCGTAGGTTTTGTTGATGTTGCCGGTGGCGGTCTGCTTGATCAGGGGCTCGGAGACACCGGCGTTGATGGCCATGGTGATGGCACAAGCTAAACAGTCAATGGCGATTCACGAGTTGCGTGGGATAAGAACGTACCAAAAGTACCCCATACCAGAACTTTACGACGGGGCATGCGATCGGTAAGAACGACAGCGGTCAGAGCGCCGATGGCGGAAACGATGGAGTTGATCAAGTTCATGAGCAGCTGCATGGAGCTGGAGGTGTAGCCCAGGGTGTTGTAGATAGTGGCGTTGAAGTAACCCAGACCGTTACCGGACCACTGACCAAAGACGGAGATCATCATGACCTGGAGGAAACGCCAGCGACCGCTGTGGCTGAAGAAGAATGGGCGATCTTAACGATCAATCAGTTCCAGCACTGAAGGTTTGGTGGAAGGAAGCACTTACAATCCCACCATCTCTTGTCGATACCATCCATACGAATACCCTCTCTCATTTCCTCGATCTCCAGGAGGACGAGGCGGGCATTGCGGTTGCCATTGCCGTGGTACTTGGTCAGAAAATCGATGGCGGACTGTTCCTGGCCGTGGGCTATCTGCCAACGAGGCGACTCGGGAATGAACCAGATGGAGCAGATGACGATGATGCAGGCAAAGCACTGCAAGATGAAGGGAATACGCCACGAGAAGTCGTTGTCGATGAAGTTGCAGCCGTAGGTAATGGCCGCAGCGGGGATGGAACCACCGAACCAGCCGCAATTGTAGAAACCTGCTGGGTTGAGCAACTGATGAGATTTCAGCGGTGTTGCGAGGCGACTTACCAACAGCACGTCCACGCCAGTGGGGAGGAGAAATCTCAACAGCGTAAGCGGGGGCAGACACAACCATGACCTGGATGCCGAAACCAAGAACCAGACGACCGACGTAGAACTGGGGGAGATGATTGGCAGTCGCGATAATGATGGAACCGACGATGATGATCCAGGCACCCACGAACATACACTTGCGACGACCGAGCCTGTCGGAAAGAATGGGACTAAAAGGGGTCGCGGCGATGGAACCACTGCGAGTAGAATACATGAGATGGAGCCTCTCAAATGGTGTGTTCGTAACAAGACTTACACGGTATAGAGGGACGTCACCAGGGAGACCTTGGGGCCGTCCAGACCGGTGTGGAAGGTATTCTGATAGTGCTTCATGGCGAGAATCGCTCCCATGAGCGAACCTATCCTCGAATTAGGGTTTTGCCCGTAACGAAAGTTTCCAAAATCACACACCATCATAACCGTTGGCACAAGCACAGCAGAAGGAGACGAAGATGCAGACTAGCAGTTGTCAGCCTTGTATCAATTTCAGCGGCAGTGTATACCAGACGCACAGTACAAGTGAATCGACTCCTTGCTCCATCTGGGAATAGGAGTGTCATTGATGGCGGCGTACAACTCGGCCTATTCGACTCTCTCGTCAACTCTGCTGTTCAAGATGGTGTTGATGGCCGACTGCTGAGGTAACTAACATTGTAAACCTTCCTCGTCTTCGCACCCTCGAGCTTGACCGCCTCGCCATGACCAACAGGTACAACAGGCTTGGTCCCGGTGTCGGAGCCGGACGAGCCATGCTCTACCGAGATGCCGTGCTTCTCATCGGTCGACGACATACTGTCGGTGGTTATCCTCTGAGAATAGAATTGGATCGACCAGATTGCTGTTTCGGATGGAGGGATTAATAGGGGAGACGAAAAAGAATCCGTGAATGACTAGGATGGGTGGGACATCATGAGGTTCTTATAATCCTCCTGGTCTACCTTTTCGACGGGGGTGTCACGTACATTGACCAGGCCGATGCTTTGTTACCGACGCTGTGGTTGGCACGAGAGATGGAACGCACGATGGCTCTGTTCTCTAAAACAAGGGACAGATACTTTGGAAAGCCATGAGAAAGCGAGTCAAAGTGACCAAAATCTGAAGACTAGTCGTTTCTGTTCGGGAGAGATGCCCGCCTTCCCGGGGTCCCTGCGTGTCAAACTGGGGATGACCCCAGACTCCAGAGCCCAACGTCGGAAATGGAATTCAGCTGGTGGGGAAGGGGGAAGGGCCCTAGTCCACAAATGGTAAGGAGTGGATGACATTGAAAGTCAATCGGGCCACTGCTTCAGCAGAGCTTAGGGATTCTCATAGTCTCAAAGTCTCAGTGTCGGTCTGGGCTAGCCGAAGTCCACTCCGAATGAGGGCTGCAAGGGGAAAGGAGGGCGCTAGACTGAATAGGTCAAGGCTCGATGCGGAGCCCACTCCGTGTCGCATTCCACAACGATGAAATTATAGCATCTGATTGGCTCATCATGGATATCTTGCCACTAAGCCGAGTCTGAGATCTGGTTGCACCAATCAGAGGGATGAACTGTAAAACCACGCGAGGAACACTAGTCTGGCCCTTGGGAACGACGACAGGCACGAGATCAGGTGGCAGGTGAAGCATGACTGGACACAGTCTGTATACACTGTCAAGTCTCCAAGGTACACTCGGTTGGTTACAAGACATTCAAATTGGATTCAATAATTTGCCCTCTCTGA